ATTTAAGCGTGTGGCAGTCGACCTGATCGGACAACTATCCCCAAAAGCAGAACGTCAACCAGTTCTCTTGCAGCAGGTGTCTGTTGTCATCAAGGCGCAAAATGGTCGTGTGACACTGAAAGAGCAGCCATGCAGTGTCGATGTTCAGCATGGCATTCATTTTTTAAATCTCTTCCGTAAACAGACGGCCCCTGACGTGAAGTTGTCTAAAGAGTTCACAGACAAACAGCGTTCCGAAATCCAGGCATTGTTAAAAAGTTATCTTCAGAGCATCGTTCAAAGAATCTGTGACAATGTCATAGATGAATATTTGTGCACTATATAACATCCATGCACAATTGAGTGTTGTGTAGCCAATAGGTGTTTTATTATACGCGGACAATTATCGATGCTCCGTGTTGTGCGATGATTGCGCATGCGAAGAAATGGACCCGCAGTGACTTCCGCTTATGTCTCTGACAATAGGTTTCGTTTCTTCTACCAAACAAAAAAGTTGTAAACCGCTTTCTTAAAGCCGGGTGTATTGTGATATAGGTACAAAAACAAAACCGAAACTGCGCGATCGTCGTAGAAGAGGACGAGAAAGAGCCCGCACTGGCGACGAAAGAGCATGTGCCAGCGTTTGCCAGCGTTCGAAGCAGTTCTCAGCTGGACATCTGATCCGGAGAACTCGTGGACGTCCTCGGCATGCTGTTCTATTCTTGGAATCCGGCTGGGTGACTGGCACAGGGACCAGGCGGTGTGCTGCTGATTCAGCTGTTGTACCTGACAGCTGGACAACCGACGAATGAGGCCGGTAGTCTGGTTGGGCGACTGGCCCAAGGTTCAGGCAAGGTGCCGCAGGTCCCATCGCCGTCCAGTGTGGCTGCGAGCTCCAGTCTGCTGTGGGCTGCTGCTCTGGCTGCCGTTCCAGGTGGATAGCATGACCCTGGTGTGCTGCATGACCCGGGTGGCTGGTGAGCTACCGCTACTGGACTGTCGTGCGGAAGACAGCCGTGCCGTGACGTGGGCCCACTTACGCTCAGGACATCAGCGACTCAGGGGGGCATCTTCGCAAGGAAGCGGCGACCAAGAAACCACGGGCAAACACGGCGAGAGACTTTTGATTACGATACGTGTTTATAAGGACAGAACACCATTACCTTAACTATGCATCATTATAGTTTGCATTTTTTACTGTAAATATATTCTTCTTTGTGTGTGTGCACTCGTACTTTGATCAAATTCCTTGGCTGGCAGTCCTGGGCCAAGCAACAACCCCGACATTACATCACCACCGGCCTTTGTGTTGGCTAAGGGGCTTGACAGTGCTGAAAAGAAGTTCTGAGATGGAGTACAGATTACACCCCATAGAATTCCGAAAGCTCAATTTTGCCTGGTAACATGAATAACAGTCTCCAACTGAGCTCGAAAGCAAAATTTGAGGGTAAACAATTTTCATATGGGCAACGATATTGAAAATAGACATTTATAGGTGCTTGTAGGAATTTAGGCCCAAACGTAAAAAACAGGCATTTAAAGGCACTATAAAAATACTATAAAAGCCCTCCTTACCTCTAACTGATGCTCATATATCAAAGTGACACGATATGAACGCAAGGACCAAAATAGGCATTTGACTCGAATCCGGTCTCTAATAATCATACATGCACAGTATATTATTGGAGTTAAGTGAAATGCAAACAGCAGCAAGCATTGCCAGTGGTTCAAAGTTGTACCCCTTTATAGAAGACACTGGTGTGGGAGAAAAATGGGTATAAGAGGCAATAATGCCTCAACACTGAAATAGAGGTTTACAACAAAACACATGCATGGTACCCGGCTTAAAGAGACACCTTTTATACATGACAAGAATCGCACCACAGAGCATGAACCTTATTAGGGTGTGTAGCTATAGTGCGTGCCATCCCATTATCCCCATGTCATTATCCCCATGCCATCCCATTATCCCCAAACCAGACTGATCTGGCAGCACTGTGCATGTCCATGGTGATGCTTTTTCTAACGCTTGCCACAGCTCATGTTTTATTTGACGCGAATAGTACATGACTGAAGGCATTGTCTCTGACAAAACCCACTTTAAAAGGTCCATCGATTACACCGAAAGTTGTCGCATGTAAACTGCACGTAGATATGAGTACTATATTGAAGAACAAAAAAACATAGCTGATTCCTCCATCATAGGAATTGGTATTGCACGAAAGTGAAACGTGCCTTCACAGAAGTACCGCTTATTGTGCAGCAATATACGAGATTTTGTACAATGTTTATACATGTTTCGCAGCTATAGTACCGTTTGACATGGACACTGCCAGATTGATGCCTAGTGACATGCCTCCATCGTGACGACTATTGTCTATGATCGTAATTTAACAGTTGTAGTACCTAAAGTTGTTCACATATAGCTGGACAAAGCGAATCATAAATCTCGCACCAAGATAACATCGACAAGCACATAATAAATGCTGATTCACATTATTCACCTCTCCGAAACAACATCAACTACGGAAAGAAACGGCACAGTATGCACTCTCGAGTAACGGGTACCCTACGTGTGTGCTGAAATACACACCATCACTCTGCGTTACAGCAACACGGGAGGCAGAGGTTTGCAGCTAGAGCAACAAACGAGTGCAGGCGCTCCCCACTGGCAGCCTTCAGAAGCAGCCAATGAGAGACTTTCAGCAGGAATAAGCAACTCTCAGGCATCTACTATTTCGACATGTGTAACCCTTTGAGACCTTGCGACAGGTGTACTGAACATAAAAAGATAGTGGTGCGGAGAAGCAAGCAAAGCTAAAATTGTACCAGAAACCCCTTCTGCAGCTTTCCCAAGAGGCAAAAAATGACTTTCTTGATGTCGGTTTTCCCTCAGCTACATTTTATTATCAGAGCCCCTCAGAGTAACCCCACTGACAAAGAGAGAACTCGAGCACTCAGTGTGCGCAAGTATGTGAAATAACTTCAGCAGCCATCTTTGTAGAACTCAATTTTTACCATGTGAGCCCTATATAATTCTCTAAAGACAGTGTTGTGAAAGTTGGCCTTTGTAACTCGAAGTTCGCTCGCAATGCGAGAAAGTCTTTATGTCCAGTAAACTGGAGACTAGATGCAACTGGTACGCAGGGTGCTCAACATGGGGAGAAAAAAAACACAAAAAAGACAGTAGAGAACGTCATGCCACAGACAACCTTCAAGCCCAGCCATGAAAAATTAAACAGGAGCATGCTTGCAATTCAGGCAGAGCCAAAAGCAAAATTTTGTCAAGAAAGAGGGCAGAATATGTGTCACCACTAATAAATCCCAAGGTGCAGTATACTGGACATGGTTCTTCCTTGCACTTATTACTTGCTTGATTTTTTTTTGCATGGTTTTCAACAGCTTTCTTAAGCAGGAAAAAAAGAACACTGAACATTTTTTTCCACTACACACACACACACAAAAAAAAAACTACTGGAAGGGATAATGCCAACCATTGCAAACTCTCACATGGTTAATAGCAGAGTCCTTTGGTGCATTTTTATTGCTTGCAGAGCCAGGTCAAGTTTGTATACAGGCAGAGAAACTGCCACTGTCCTGCAGACAAGGAGGCAATGAGAAGCTGTAATCGGCTGCAAGCGAGTGGCAAGAATGCGTTAGGATGAAGTGGGTGGCTTCTACATCCAGGCACCAACTGTCCCTGCTCATCATAACGTCTCCATGTACTATATAAATTTACTAGTTAAAAATACTAAACCCCACTGGCTTCTACTATTTTTAACCAGTGAAGAAAAGATAGAAATTTTCAGCACTGCATTAAATATAAGCATACCCATCTGTTAAACAAAAGCATTGTCAGACACGTACCTACAGAAAGTATGATGAAAAGTATAAGTATTTTAAAAGGTACAGTACACTATTCGTAATAAAAAAAAATTTGGGCATGTTTCCTGTGCCTGCTATTCCTTAAATAGTACAGTCCTTTATTCCACTAGAAGGTCCCACTACTTATGAAGCCCCAGTGGATCAATCTGTGACAAATATGGATTTTATTGAAGGTGATCATGTAATGCATCATATCAGTAATACAAAAATTTCCATTTGTTTCAAATAAATTTCCAGTTGAACACATGAACTTAGATGAGTCAACCACATTTTGCAGTAGAACAGGACAGTGTTAAACAATCGTAAATTGCAGTAGCCACCTCAACAATCCAGGATACATACTACATGCAAGTAGAGAGGCCCATACTTATTAAATATTGTGGTAATGTATAACAAACTATAAGTGTAGTACTTCAAAGCTAAAGCTATTTAACCATGCCAATACCTGAACAATTAAAGTCCGTAAATATGTGCCACTAATATTGTTCGTATATATTTCATAGTGCCAGAACAGCAGCCAGTTACTTGCAAGACAAATAACAGAAGCTAAATGAATAGATAAGGAAGAGCACAAAAAATTGAGAAGCAGATTCACAAAAACCAGGATTTCGTGGTGCCGGCCATTACACCCACACTCGTGCGGCACTGAATCTACAAAGTTGTTCAGGCTGCGACACACTGATTAGCAAGAGAACGTGCCTTCAAAAGTAAAAGGATAACAGAATCCAAGAGCTGGAGCTGCATTCAAAAGTGAAAAACCTAAGCTGTGCTGGCAAGAAAGACTTTAGGTCGACTAAGGAAATGTACAGGATGACCATTGAACTTCCGATGCAGCATTCAAGTCAAATCCCTCTTTTCAAGTGACCTGCACCCGCAATGGTGAGAATACTTGCAAAATCGTGAACAAGCAACAGAAATGCACTGCCTGAACATGCCAAGCTACGGCTGCTACCCACATAACATTCCCGTTCTTAAGTAATGTTAGTAGCATGAACGACTTAAACTTCAAGAAATGACAGAAGAAATGAATGAGGAGTTGAAAATAGCAGTGATTGGAACCTCCTGAGAAAATCCGCAGAGATAATGCAAAACTTCCATGCTGTGCAGAAGGTCCCTCAAGTTGAGCCCACGCGTACCTGGGAATGGCAAACCTTCAGATGACACGGTACTGGTGCGCAAAGGCCTAGATGAGTTGGGGTTCACTTTAGGGGTCCTGCGCCTGGTGTTCAAAACTGCAAGGCAATAGGGCAGGCATGATTATGTTAGTGTACAAGCGAAAACCTTGATAGCAAAATGCCAGTGTCCACCACAGGTAACGCAGTCCAGAGGGCCAGAAACCTGGGAGCCAGAAGATGCGATATGTTTTACTAAGTGGAAGAAGTGAAAAGGCTAAAAGAGATGAACAAGGAGTTAGAGCCATTTGAAGGAGTCACTTGCTGTTGACTAAGAATCACTTACACAAAATCTTGAGCACATGAAAGGCAAGTAATGCGATTTCTACAGCTTGGTCACTTTTATGTGAGACACCCTGAAAAACGCGACTATTTTATTCAAATAACTTACTCTTCAACAACACTTATTTTATCTTTTTTTACTGATATCGCTACAGTTACATCATTTACCATCCACAACTGCAGCACATCACCCCCTTGGTAAGTGAATTTCACCAGCTGGTTAGCACGAGCAGCACAGTGACAAACATGCTTGCTCACAATCGCGTTACAAGAAAAACATTTCTAAGTGGGAAAATCGAGGTCACCGTTTTCAACAAAACACAGTAAGAGCAACATGAAGTAGCTCGTGAGTATGCCACACACTGTGCCATGTGCAAGCACACTTTAAGCTTAACCTTGTAATTCCCAGGAACAGTTATGCCTTCACAAATATTGCAAGAAAACACTGACTGTTTTCACTCTTCTTGTACAGTTAATTTTAGGGAAAATATGAATAAAGTTTTGTTTCAGGCATAAGCTAATTAGTACTAATTAGAAATACTTAATTAGTCATATAATATGTAGGTCACTTTACCTTCTTCATAACCTGCCAAATCTGCAAGTTGCTTATCGTGACACTTATAGTAGCTTTTAATAGCATTATTAAGATATGTATCATATTCAAATGTATGAATTAAAGGGTTAAGATAAACCTGCACAACCTTGGTAGGTGTTTATTAGGAGTTAGAAAAACTGCATGTATAGATAACTGAATCTTGACAAGTATGCAAAAAAAGACAAGAAAAAGAAAAAGCAAATGTGTGTGGAGACAGAGTACATTACTAACACTCGAGAGAAGCAGCCATATTCTTATAAAACTTCCATATACAGGGGTGCAACAGTCGGAATACAATTTTTAGCAATTTCTGGAGCAGCAAAATATTGCTTGTGAAGCACTAAAATCCAAATTTGAAGCAAGTTTCAGGAGAATAAATACTTCCATTTTTTCATGACGAAGACCAAATTTGGAGAAATAAAACAAGAAGGTTTAGATTTAGAATAGAAAAGTAAATATGTAGAAACTATTCAACACCATCTAAATCATGCAGAGTGAACATGAGCAATGCAATTTCAAGAAAAGTAATTCAAACCACCTTATTGACCAAACATTGATAAAGCCCACATTAGCATTTGCCACATATGTCAAACCTTTGACAGACTCAGTAAACTTTGATGTGGATCTGCTAAGCTGGCGGCCTTGAAATTTGGGGAGATTCATAAAACTTAGGAGAATGGGTGACGAAAAATACTTCTCCACAGTTTGTTTTTGTTTTTTGGGTGGTGGGCTGCAGAAATATCATCATCAGCCTGCCTACGTTCACTGTAGGACAAAGGCCTCTCCCATGTTCTGCCAGTCACCTCGGTCCTGTGCTAGCTGCTGCCACTTTATACCCACAAACTTCTTTATCTCATCTCCCCACCTAACTTTCTGTCTCCCCCTAACCTGCTAGCCTTCTCTGGAAATTCAGTCAGTTATCCTTATTGACCAGCGGTTATCCTGCCTATGTGCTAATTTTCAGCCCAAGTACAATTCTTCTTGATTTTAACTATGATATCCTTAACCCTGGTTTGTTCCCTGATCCACCCTGCTCTCGTCTCTTAAGGTTACACCTATCATACATTGTCACCTATCATACAATGTATGCAGAAATGTCATACGTGATTCCAAATGATTGCCGGTAACCTTTTTATACATCACCGATTATACTAGTACTCACAATTATGTCGCGTATACAAGCATGAGTATATTATTGAAATGTGCTGTCTTTAGAAACTATTGTTAATAGCGCCTTCCAAATCCAAACAGTACAATTAAAAGTTACATATATGCCAAAATATTCATAACAATAAAAATTTATAATATACACTTTGAAAATAAATAACCCAGGTACAATAATAAATGTCGTACAAGCTTTTCTATCCATACAAAAAAAGAAAATCAGAACCAAGGTTCTGCTTCAGTGCTCGTGCCATGCGGTGAAGCATTGCTTGGTTTTTTTTGTAAGACAACAGTAGCATCGAACACTTTTCCCAGTAATTTTTTTACTTTAGTTTTTTTTTTGTTTTTTTTTTCAATAAGAGCCTACATGTGTTCTAATATAGATAGATGCTCGTCATGTGAATAATGCCTCTATATTGCAGCTATCCAATGAACTTTGCTATTTTATCTAGCGTTCCAATATATGCATCCAAGCATATTTCTTCACATTTTCGCACATCATGTTAAAAAGAAAAAAAGGACAATATCGCGTGCAGTTATACAACCTTTCGCACCACTCCGTAGTCAGGGCCAAGATGTGCTCCAGTGGCCATCTTGTCATCGAGGAGAAGCTCTCAGCCGCTACCAGCTCAATGTGACCTAGCAACGCGTGGATATCACAAATAACCAGAGTAGCTATAACTTTGTACACAAAGGTTAGTAAGTACGCACTTGTGGCAGAGAAGACAACATAAGGCCGTAAACAAAACAAACCTGTAAATAGCTGTGGATGACTCAGGCTGATGCAAAACATCATCGCCATAAAACCTGAAACTGAAGTGCTGTCATGAGTGGAATAAGCTCATCCTCAGTCGATTCAGGTGCAGCTGCAAGACAGTTTCGAGCGGCGCGTGTTTTTTCCAGCACAGGTGCACACCCATGCACGCGTGACGCTGCCACCATAGAAGTGATTAGTGACACTAGATGCAGCCCTGTGTCTTATATAACCATACAAGCGAAACCGAAGCGGCTGAAAACTGGCTGAGAAGGCCCCCTCCACACTTTAAACATAGGGCAAACCTATGGAAATATTTTTTTTTGTAGAGTAAATTTTTGTTGACTCCTAGCAACAAGTCTACTGAATAGCTGGCATCAATTTCTGGCAATTATTACTCCTCAACACAGTTAGAGTGCAAAGCTGACACCCTCATTTTATATTTGACTTGCAAAGGTTTTTTTATTACAGAACTTTGGTGTTACTGTAGCGTAATCACAAGGGGCACGCACTTCTGTCAAGATCGCCAGCCAAGTGCATCTTCTCAACAAGACATGCACAATGGTTGGCGCAAAGCTCTGTCGAAAATCCCTACTTCGTCAAAAGCGTCAATCATCCTCGTGGTAACAAAAGAGTTAAGCAGTGTTCTGCATGGGTCAGATTAGAACAAGGCCAGACAATTTTTGAGCCTCGCCCCCTCCCCCCCAAAAAAATTTTCTTTGCTCGCGTACGCATATATAACAGACACACACAAACACATACACGCATGAACATACATAAAGTATGACTGAATTCCCCACCCCCGCAAAAAAAAAAGCTTTGGCTGTGCCCCTGCCACCCCCCCCCCTTCTTTTTTTCTTCCACAATGGAGTTAGGGTCCGGCCCAAGGTTTTTAGATACTGTCAGTTGAAAAAGCTCACGCCAGACGTGGCACCAACTCGTATCCACTCTGAGCGTGGCACTGCCGTAGCATTGAGATTAAGCCGCTGGCGCTAGCTACCCGCCACTTCCCGCGCCAAAGTTGATTTTTTTTTTGCTTCCTCAGACCACAGCGGCAAGAACTTGAAGGTTAGAGTTTAGTCATCTCAAATTGTATTTCACATGTGACATGATGATCACAAGCAGGCTTGATAAAAGCCCCAAATAATTCTGCTGTTCTGAAGGCCTGGACAGCTGCTATTCCACGAAAAGCCTTCCAGGTGACAGTCAAGACCTATATTTGGGATCTACATTTCTAATCAGAGAACCTAATCAATTGCTATGAGCACATCGTAGGCGGAAACATTGTCGAAATTCCACGTGGTAGGTGGACATTTACGCTCGGTGCTGTTCCTCGAATTTTCCGGAATATTCCTACACGCGTCTAAACCAGCAGCATTAAAGTGCAAAAGGAAACCCCCGAAACTTAGAGAAACCGTGAATTTCGAGGGTCATGTGTCAGCAAGTGGCGATGATGTTCCTGACATTAACCTAGAGAACAGCGATGTTGACGAAGCTACTGGCGTCCCCTGCGATCCAGAGTTGTGTCCAGGAGTGGCAACTTGATTCACTGCATTACAAGACTAAACAAAGTTCTAATCCTGGAATGTCGAGCTTATCCAGAAAGAAGTTCGTTTTTTTTTTTTTTTCAAATTCACTGTCCGTCTTGTGTTGAAAGATTCAAAAGTGAAGTCAGCGAGAGTGTAGCACTACCAAACCGAGTGGCTGATTACTCCCCTGCTCCTTAAAATATCAAGCCCTGCTGCTTATAGGCTGATGTCAAAGGTGAGCACACTGCCTCTGCCGACATCCTCAGGCCTTGCACAAACTATAAAAAAATGCCTTGCAAATTTGGGTTCAATAAGGCTTCGCTAGGCAGCATCAGCTGTTCTGCTGGAAGAAGGCCGGTCATGAGTTCATACACTTGGTGGATAGGCACTTTTCAAAGCTGTTTTTCATTTTTCGAACGTCGTTCTTTGCTTTTTCTCGAAATACTGTGGCCCTAATAACCATCTTTCTTAGGTTTTTAGTAGTCGAGAGCAATTTTTGGTGAAGCGTCATTGCTTTCATAGATTTTTTTTTTTTTTCTTCTACCGTGCTTGCCGATTGTACCTTGTGCTCTTTCATGATAGGCATAAGTCTTCCCGGAACAGCCCCAAGCATATAGTGCTCTTCTACACATTCTGAATTTTCAGGGCTGATGTTGCCGTCGAAATGGAAGGTAATAAGCTGCTATGACAGCCCATGCATATTTTTAGGTGATCAACATAACCGAGAAAAGCTGAT